AGAGTCCTACAAGTTCATGATGGAATCAGGAATTCTGTCTCTGCCCACAGCAATCCCACTGAGGATGGGAGTCACTCACCCTGCCTCTTATATGCTTTACCCCTTCACAAACCACGGCCAGCAACAGTTCATTCTACCTTTAGGTCGATGTCGTGGGCTCTCTGGTTCATTTCTCCTGCTGCGTTCTGACCCTCCATCCCGCTCCGATCTGCTACTGTGCCTGCTTCTATCCCGCTCATCTGTCAAGAGTCACATGCAGAGCTTAGAAAACATGTGTCCCATCCCAACTTCCACCCATCTTCACCCTAGAGAAAGGACAGGCCTTCCCACTCACTCACGGGTGCAACCTGCACTGTTCTAATATGATCCATGGGCTCCTGAAACTCACATATCCCCATTCTTTCAAGGGGAAAAAATAGTTACTGGCTAGAAAATTTCAAACTCACAGTAACAGTTATTTTCCTGTAAGAATTCAGAAAAGATTAGTTACAAGTCTATAGTGAGTAGCTGTTTAATAGTTACAAGTCTATAAACTATAACACTTAACACTGAGCAAAGCCAGCACTAGATTTTATGTCTAGCTTTGCTCCAGAGCACTGTCCTTTCTGTATCACTAACACTATTGTCAACTCTGTTTTCTCAGACATATTGTCCATTATCACCTTTATCACCAAGTCTCATAGTAAAATGAGAACCACACACTCAAGCAAAGCAACTATATTGCAAGTAACAGTTCTTAAACTGCCTGCTATTCCCAATCCCAACAAGGTCAAAACCAATCAGAGTGACATTATGCAAATAGGGGTCTCTAATTTAATAAGCATTATAAAAACTCCTGCAATGGGAAAGAGGCTGGCACGTTCATTCAAATACTTAATGGGTTATGGGAACTATGCTGGGCTGTCTACCTCTGTCTCTCTTGCGGTCACAGTCTCGATCCCGCGATCTCTCTTTCCGATCCTTTTCTTCTTTGGATGAGGCATAAACACCATGTTCCCGGCGCTCCCGTTCTCTCTGCCGACTACGTTCCCAAAACTCTTCACTCACACCACCAGGATGGGATGGAGTCTCTACCCGAGCAGATCGATAATGTCTGAAACAGGGAGGACAACTAGTAAAGGTCCCCTCCACAGGAGAAAAACCTTGCCCCAAAACCTCTGGCTGTGCCAAACAGGTGACCTGTCTTTTTCCACTTTATCCCCTAGTACTGCAGGCTTACATACGGCAACAACCCAAAATATTTCTAACCACCATCATCTACTCACTGGTCTTCTTTGAATGTTCCCCACAAATCTGAAGAATACACCAGTTCCTATCTACCCTCAATACAATAAAATCAAAAGTTCTACATGTCCAACAAGAAAACTGAGATAAACATAGGACATTATTTTCTGGCCTCCATTTTCATTCCCTTTGGGTCAACCCATCCTAAAGCCTTTACCTGTCTTTTCGGCTACCTCGACCAGACTGGTCACTGCCATCCTCCTCAGCATCCCTCTGGTCATCTTTGCTCTCTTCCCAGTCCTTGTAGGAAGAGATCCTGGACTTCTTCTTGTCCTCCCCATCGTCTTTCTCCTCTCGCTCCCTCCGTTTCAGGGAAGCCAACAAGTCCAGTCCCAGCAATGAAGGGCGGGGAGCAGGGGCCTTGAAGACATGCTGCTCACTGGCCGCACTTTTGGTCTTACAAATAAGACCACCAACCTGAGTGTCCCCATCAGTGCCTTCCAATCTATGGATTGAGGTATCCTCACTGGTGTCCTCCATGATAGGCTCTGGGATTTCTCTGGAAGGAAGACAAACCATTTGGTATTGGACATAAGAGGGGAAATATGGCTCTGCTATATCCCAAGATAACTGTAGTTATAGGTATATTTAACCTCCTTCTTAAGAACAGGGTTTCTTTAGACCTCTTGCTAAGACCTTTCCACCAAGTCACTGACAATCTCTAAAGATCATCCTACTCCCACCTCTACACACATAAAAAATACACACATACACACATACCACACAGCCACCCCAAATACCAGGATCCAAGAAAGCACCCTCAAGCATCATGATGGCACATTTATTAGAGCATGATGACATCTATAAAGGGGGTATAAGGGATTTGAAGTGAGAAACCTCAATTAGATTGAAGTCAGAAACCAGGCTCTTAATATTTCCTATCTATATGAATTAATCTTTGGTTAGGCATAGTTTCTGTACCTATAAAATGGAAATACTTTTTGCTTTACCTAATCCATGGAATTATTCTGAGAATCAAGCAAGAGAGTATAAGTGAAAGCTCTCTGTAACCAGTAAGTGTTACATAAATATAATGGTTACATTATATTATTTGCTGTGCTCCAATATAAGTGTTTGGGTCCCTCACCCTTTTTTTTTTTTTTTACATGAGTTCTTCTTCCTCTCTTTCCCATTAAACTTTCAGATACAGCAGAGATATTGGGGTATAAGGCTACCATCCATGTGATCCATACTTTAGTGGCTTTTTTTGGACCAGTTCTGTACAGCAGTCAAAATCTGTTTAAAAACAATCCATGTACACCAAAAAATGTTGATGAGAAGCACTAGGTTAGAAAATGGTGTTTCTGGCCCTGGCCAGTTTGGCTCAGCGGTTAGAGCGTCAGCCTGCGGTCCGGAGAGACCCGGGTTCGGTTCCCGCTAAGGGCACGTACTTTGGTTGCAGTTTGTCCCCGGCCTTGGTTGGTCGTGCGGGTGGCAGCCACTCGATGTGTCCCTTCACGTCGATGTTTCTCTCTCTCTCTCCCTTCCTCTCCCTCCCTCCCACTCTATCTGTACAAAAAAAATGGAAAAAATATCCTCGGGTGAGGATTAAAAAAAAAAAAAAGAAAATGGTGTTTCTGAAGAGTAAGTGGCTGTAAGATTTTTTGGCCACTCTACTTGTTTTTTTTTTTTGTTTTTTTTTTTTATTTATTTATTTTATCCTCACCCGAGGACATTTTTCCATTTTTTGTTCAGGTAGAGTAGGAGGGGGAGAGAGGAACAGAGAGAGAGAAACATCGATGTGAACGGGACACATCGAGTGGCTGCCACCCGCACGACTGACCAGAGCCGGGGACAAACTGCAACCGAGGTACATGCCCTTAGCGGGAACCGAACCCGGGTCTCTCGGGACCGCAGGCCAACGCTCTAACCGCTGAGCCAAACCGGCCAGGGCTTGGCCACTCTACTTGTAATAAATTCCTCTTTACCTCCCATTACATAACATCCACTTGAAAGCATACACCAATTCCGAGTGCTTAAATAATTCCCCTCATTCCAACAAGTCAGTGACGCAAAGGAAGTGTCAAGGCATAGTGTACCACCAGAATCCAGAATGTTTTACACAGCTCTACGGAGAAATATTGTCAGACTGCACACAAAATATGGACACAGGATGTGAGGGCGATCTGGCTGCGACATCTGTCACCCCATTGATCCCCAGGGTTGATTCGGCTGATCTGGCTGGCTAGGCGCGTGTCCCCCTCCTCCCTCAATCGGTCCATGTTCGTCCCTCCCGAAGCTGCACTCGGTGTAAGAGGACGACCTCCCCCCCCACCCCAGGAGACGACCGGTCTTCGGTCAAGGGTATACCAGTAGCTGCGCTCCCCTGCTAGAACCTCCAAACAAGCTCTCAAGGTCCAAAATATGGACACAGAAACATGCTATCAGGTAGAAGAGAGAAGAGAAAGCTGCATGTTGGTGACGTCTGTATACATATGAGAAAACCTACACATGAGAAAACCTAAACAAGAAGGTAGAGCCATACATACAGGCTCTGCTCAGAAGTAGTCTAAACTAGAAAATAGAGCCCTAGAATGCCATTCTACACAGGAAAGAACCTTATCCTGTCTTGCTGATGTTGTAGACTCAATGCCTAGCAAAATAAATGTTTGATGAATAAATGGATGAATGAATTTAAACTGATTAAAGGGAAACATTTCTAGAGACAGCAAGAGAAGATACCAGCAGCACTGGACAAGGTGTCTGACAGCAAGGCTTAATTAACTGCTGAGGTGAATAAACAAGGAGTTAAGGAGCTGGGTTCTGGATAAAGATTAATGGCAAAGAAGCTACATGGGGTATGAGACAATCAATGGAAAAAAAACTGGATTTACACATTCAAGAAGTATTCATTCAATACCTCCCCTGAGCCAATCGCTGTTCAGAGCAGAGAACAAAACAAAAATCCCCGCCCTCTTGGGTTAACATTCCAGCAGAGGAGATCCCCTGGTAGAGATGACCACTGCGACAGAGCGGAGGAGGAGACAAGGGGCCCTCCTGGGCGCGACGTCCGTTCGGGGGTAGGCTAAAGCGGAGGCCTAGAGAAGGGTGACCCCGCGAGCATCGCTGGACCTCAGTGAGGCCGCGCCGGGCAGCAGGGTCTGACCAGAACAAAGAGAAAGGCTGGGCCAGGCAGGACCTGAGCAGCATCTCTAGGGTAAGACAAGTTGGGTGACAGAGACAAGACTTTCCAAACCCGGGCCCGAACCTGAGCGAAGGACGGATATCCGCCGCCTGGAGACGCCATGACTGGCGAAGGGCAGGTCAGGAAAGAAGGAGGGACACTCACCTTACCAGGCCCGACTCTCAGGACGCTCTGTCCCGGATTCTGGGGCGCCAGCCGCTCAGATCGCCTTAGAGAACCAAAACCAGCACCTCGAAAGCGGCCATTATTGTCCCATAATACCTTGTACGGCCCCTTCTATCCGTCCAAAGAGACCATAGAGAGCAACCCGGAAAATGCCAGTTCCTGGCTCCAAGTACGGGACATAACGCGACCAGGCCTTCAAGACTAGACTGTCCTCTGGGACTCTGATCTGACACACTTCCGAGTCTCGTCGCGACCAACCACACTGAGCCTAAGAGGTGAGGCCCCGCCTCTAGCCTAAGAGGGTGGGCGGGAAGTGGCGAGGTCGGTCCGGTTTTCTAAGGGCGGAAGTGACTCTAAGGCTTCCGGTCGGAGGTGGGCAGAGTGGACCGCGACTAGAGTAAGCGGGTTCTTCTACTGCGCCTGGGTGTTTTCCTTTTCCGTTTCCGGGTCCTTGAAGGGTTGCTAGGCAACCACCCCTGGGTTACTTTGGATTGGGGTCCCTGGGGTGTTTCTAACAGAAGAAAGGAGCCCCCGGTGTCCTGACTCTGGAAAAGGGGTCGGGTTGCCGGCAGTCCTGAAGTTGAAGAGAAGGAGGCGACCTGTACCAGTCAAGTGAGTATCGTCGTCCCTACCACAGACTGCACTGAAAATGTATCAGTGACCCTTGAACACCGCGAACCGCGCGGTTTGAACCCGTGTTTTTCAGGAGTGAACTGTATTTTCCACCTAGGGTTGGGCATCCGGGTGTGCAGTGGCCGACTTAGGTTACTCGCGAATTTTCGACTGCGCGGGCCCTAGGCGCCCTGACCCCTGCGTTGTCCGAGAGTCAACTGCATCGACTGGTTTGGAAAGATAAAGATGCGCACACCCTTTTAAATAAAACTCACCTGTCTGTGCACACGCAGAGGGCACCACTGAAAATGTTTGGGGGCATTCCTCCCCAGTTATTTTTCTTTGTAAATACGTACATTTGTATCATAGTTAGGTTTCGTACCTAGACTACAGAATGTGGTATCACACTGTTTTATAACTCTTTTCTTTGTCGTGAGAGCTTTTCAGTATCTGCAATGTTCCTCTCCAACACAGTATTTAGTGACTTTAATAATACATTGCAGAACTGTCCTATCTTTTATTTCACCAAACCCCTATTAAATTTAAGTTGATTCCAGTTTTGTACCATTATTAAGTGGGACGAATATGCTTTGTATGTAAATCTTTGTGCGCATGTCTAATTATTTCCTAAGAACTAATTCTCAACTGGAATTGTTGGTCCAAGAACATTTAAACTTTCTTTCAAGAAAAGTTTTGCCTCTCTACATTCCAGTGGGGACTATGAATGACTGCCCTTCATTTACACTCTTTCCATTTTTGTTTAATCTTTGCCAATCTAATGGCTTTTTAAAATACATCTTTTTTTCTTAATGTTTTTATTGACTTTTTTAGAGAGAGAGAAAGGGAGAGGGAGAGAGAAAAACATCTATTGGCTGCCTCCTGCACGCCCCCTACTGGGGTTTGAGCCTGCAGCTTGGTCAGCTGTCCTGACCCAGAATCAAGTGCCAACCTTTTGGTGCATGGGACCACCTCAACCAACTGAGCCATACCAGCTGGGCTAAAATATATCTTTTAATTTGCTCTTCTTTGCTTTCTAGTGTAGTTTAACTTTTAAAATATGTGTATTTTCCATTTGTACCTCTTTTGTGACTTTTGGTATCTTTTGCTGTGTGCATTTTCTTAGGTATAGTCTCAATTTCTCTCTTCCAACATTTACCCAGGCCCCCATCCCCCCTCTCCACCCCTGTGGACAGCTTTGCCCTCCCCCCACCTCCTCCTCTTTATTAGTAACATGTAGGAGTTATTGTTTGTTTGAATTCTAGCGATGGAACAGATCTATCTTCTCTTTGACTTTCCCTTTCATCAGTAATTTGTTCTGCCATTCCTGGCATTCAGCTTTCGTATGACCTGTCACTGGAACAATTTCATTTCCTATATGAATTCTTATTCATTTATATCTTAAAATGTGACTTGTCACCAGAAAAACAGAAAAAGAAATCCTCCCTTTCCATAGCATTAGCCAACTTTAGAACTGAATTTAAAATATCAGTTATTTCAGTGGGTGGACGCAGAAATAAAGCTCCTTGGTCATAAAAATTGGAACTTATTGTATATAGAAGAAACACTAGATTAGAAATTTGGTGGCCTGGATTCTAGTCTTTGTTCTTGCAGCTAGAAGTGTAACTATAAGCAAACTAGTATGTAAACTAAGGGAGTTGGATCAGGACCCTTCTATATCCGTATTTTATGATTTTTTTGTATGGTTTTTACACACTTAATGGATGTTTGCCATGTGATGAGATGCACCTAGTAAGATATGCACCAAGAATTTTTGTTGATTTTAGAGGGGGAGAAAGAGATGTCAATTTGTTGTTCTGCTTATTTATGCATTCATTGGTTTACTCTTGTATGTGCCCTGACTGGGGATCGAACCTACAACCTTGGCATATTGGGATGACTGCCTAACCAACTGAGCTACTGAACCAGGAAGCTTACCTGCCTCCGAAGCTCCCTTACCCTCTGGTTCCAGCTGGAGTCAGCCAGTAGGAGCATTAGCAGGAGATCAGAGGAAGGGAGAAGAGTGGTTGAATCCCCTAACTGCAGGCTGACCTCCTATACAGCAGCCTTCTCCACTCAGCCATCTCTGCCACACAGTTCTGGTCACAACTCCCTCCCATGGCTCCTTCAGGTATAAGGGTGAGAACAGCGCCCTGCTGTTACCCCACGGTATAACACTTACCCTATTTTCCTATACCCTGCCTGAATGGAAGTCCCCCAGTTCTACCAAATTTGAGGATGTCATCTATTTTTTGCTGGAACAGTGACTGGTAAAAAAGGCTATTTGGGGGGGGTAAAAGGAGAAAGCAGAAAAATGTATATTTGTATTTTCTAGTGAATGCATAATAAAACTCTAGAAGATACATAAGAAACTAATGAAAGTATCTACTTGTTATGTGGGGAGAACTGGGGCAGTGGAGACTAGGCCAGTTGAGGGGAGACAGAGGGAGATATTTTACACTCTACCTGTCTGTATTGTTGCTTTTTAAACTGGTGGACTTATTTGCCACCAGATTGTGCATTGAGTGTGTCACTTTTACTTTTTTAATACTGTGTTGTATAAAACCCTTTTCCTCTAGGAAAAAAAACATATAACTCAAAAAAAATTTTTTTTTTAAATTAGGACTCATGCCCTTAATCTGCCTTTAAACACTGCAACTTTATTTCAGGACTGACAGTGAGGGTTTAACTAGATTATTTCAAGATGAGCTTCCTATTGCCCAAGCTGACCAGCAAAAAAGAAGTCGACCAGGCAATAAAGAGCACTGCAGAGAAGGTCTTGGTTCTCAGGTTTGGGAGAGACGAGGATCCTGTCTGTCTGCAACTAGATGATATTGTAAGTAAATTTTTGTTTAATCGTCATTCGAGGATATTCTTCTGTTTATCATCAGATAGAGTGTGAGAGGGAGAGAGGGAAACATCGACTGGTTGCCTCCCACATGACCCCAATCAGGGCCGGGACGAACCGCAACCAAGGTACGTGACCTTGACCGGAATCGAACCCATGACTCATTGGTCCTCGAGCCAACACTCTAACTGCTGAGCCAAACTGGCCAGGCCTGTAAGTAAATTTTTTAAATAAATCGTTTTTGTTGTTTTTTTTAATCTATGCATTCTCACTTCAACATCTGCAAAGTGCATGCTGGAGTGCAGACAGGGCCCAGGATATAGCTGTTCTGTTGTTAGTACACTTTTGCAAAGAACTGAATCTCTAAATTTGTGATTGTGCTGGATGTCCTTCCCCACTTCACCAACAAGGCAATGAAAGACCAGAAACATTATGAACAAAGTGTCTGTGAACATTATCTTATTCAGTGCTCACAATACTGGGTTCATTAATACTACTCTTCCCAAGGGGAGAAATGAATGCTAGAGAGGTCAAGTGACTTCCCACAGACACAGAACCACTAAATTGCAGAGCTGGGATTTGAACTTTGTTTTCTCTGCCTGCAAATATTTTTTGCCAGTGTGCTGCTGCAGTGTGTGCCTGATGATAATCTCTTACTTCACAACCCATCTTCACACACCAATGAATAAAGACAGCAGTTTAGGACAGAGTAGGTTTAGGTTTATTCTTGTCTCTGTTTATTGTGGAAAGAGACTTACCCAGGACTAAGACTTCTTCCACTATTTCTATAGCTGACATCACTATGTGGATGGAGTGAAAGAATCCTCATTACCGTGATTAAATATGTGTGTATGATATGTTACCCTGGAGGGTGGGGGTAGGGCAGAAGCTTATACCCTCAGCTGTAGGGAGGAAGGACTACCACTAGAGGTCAAGAGCACAAACTCTGAAGCCAAGCTGCCTGAGTTCAAATCCAAGCCTGACTGCCTACAAGCTGTGTGACCAGGGGCAAATTACCTTCCTATGCAGTTTCCTCATCTACGAAATGGGGACTATGATAATGCATACCTCATAGGAATGTTGTAAGGATTAAATGAGTTAAAAGTGGAAGTACTTAGGACAGTTAGCACATAATAGTGCCATGTAAATGTTTGCTCTTTTTTGTGTGACTATCATTTATGTGAGGATTGAAAGGAAAGAGGTTTAGAAGAATCAGTGTCTATAGTACATATTTATGAGTTGTTTTGTTTTTGTTTTAAGTGAGCATGGATTTTATAAATCCATAAAAAGTTTTTAAAACTTTACAGTCAAAAGTAGAACAGTCCTGGCCTTGGTTGGGGTTCAGTCCCCGGCCCTGTTCAGGGTCATGCAGGAGGCAACCAATCCACGTGTCTCTCTCACATAGATGTTTCTCTCTCTCCCCATCCCCCCTCTCTCCCTCCCACTCTATCTAAAGATAAATGGAAAATTATGCTCAGATGAGGATTTTTTTTAAAAAAGTAGAACAAGCACAGCTGGTGTGGCTCAGTTGGTTGAGCATAGTCCCCATGCACCAAGAGGTCATGGATTCTATTCCAGGCGGGGCACATGCCCAAATTGTGGGCTCGATCCCCAGTAGGGTGTGCAGGAGGCAGCCAATTGATATTTCCCTCTCTTTGATGTTTCTATCTCTCTCTCTGTCTCCCTTCCTCTCTCTCTCAAAAAAATAAAATCAATAAAAACTTTTTTTTTTTAAGTAGAAGAACAAAAATGAAGGAATATATTCACACAATTTATCCAGGGCCCTCTGATAACCCTACCCACAGTAATTCAGATTGAATGATAAGGTTACACTGTGTCTAATGTGAAACTCAAACAGGCTAGATTCTTGGCCCAGGAATTTTTTTCAGACAGAATATTCTATTAAAATGTTTCACAGAAAGAACCTTGGCTACTTTTCATATTGTAACCTATATCTCTCTCCTCATTTGCAGCTTTCTAAGACCTCTTCTGATTTGAGTAAAATGGCTGCTATATATCTGGTAGATGTGGACCAAACTCCAGTTTATACACACTATTTTGACATCAGTTATATTCCATCTACTGTGTTTTTCTTCAATGGGCAGCATATGAAAGTGGATTATGGGTAAGTTAAGTTGACATGAAGCTATCACAGTCTAAAAGTTTCCTTTTCAGCCGTTTTGGTAACTTACCTATTAGCATGCACTGGTGGCTCCATGAGTCTTGTATTGGTACTATTTCCTCAACTGAGGCTCTCTCTAATTTTTTTATGTGAAACTTGGTGCAAATTAGAGTTCTGGCGTGCTTGGCAAATTTTAATTTCCTGCTTAGGTATGAAAGAATAGTACAGGCAGTGAAGCACTAACCATCCTTCAGTCTAGAAAATACAGAATCATTTTCTTAAAAGTTTCCCAGGGATTTTATTTAAAACAAAATATGTTGTCCTCAAACTTTTGGGACTAATAGGTTGCATTTATAAAAGAAGGACCCCTTTCAGCAAACTAAGACATGCTCCTCTCTTGCCAAGTTTCCTGTCTTCTTTCAGGAAAGAAGTCATTCTTTTGTTTAAGTTATACTTCAGTAAAGCCTGTCAAGAATAAGTAACATGAACCCTGGCCAGTGTGCTCAGTGGTTACAGCATCGGCCCAAGCAACAAAGGGTCTCGAGATTGATTCCCAATGCAGGGCACGTACCTGGGTTGCAGGTTTAGTCACCAGCCCCATTTGGGGGGGGGTGTGTGGGAAGCAGCCAGTTGATGTGTCTCTCTTACATCAATGTTTCTCCCTCCCACCCACTCTCTCTAAAAAAGCAATGGAAAAATATCCTCAGGCTAGGATTAACAAAAATAAATAAATAGTAACATGAAATCTTCTTTAATGCCTTCCACTCCATCTAATCAGCATTCCAATATTTAATATTTATTTTTAATATGTCCATAATTATTATTTCTTATTGTGGTTGAGATATCCACTTGTCTAAATCTGTGTACCTGCTTTGTCATCAGTTTGAGAGTGTGTAAAATGTCATGTGTTTTAAGTGTTCTAAAGGTATTCTATAATATAGTTCATTTGAGTATTAATTTAGTGCACTCTTTTCAGAGGGTGATTTATGACATTTACACCTTAAAATTGTGTAAAATTTTTAACCCAGTAATTGTATTTTCAGGAATTTATCTGAACAAAAATAATCCTGAAAGTGGGCAAAATTGGCTCCATAGATACTTATTGTTTAGGAAGCAAAATACTTAGAACTTTGATGTGCAACAAAGGGAAACTAGGTACCAATTTACCCTGATGTTGTAGATGCATGGTTAACAATTTTGAAAGAAATATATATATGTTAGTTTTAAAAAGCACATTACAAAATAGTTTGTATGATATAATTCCCATTATTGTGAAAAATGAAGACATAGAGACACACACATATATATACATACATACATACATACATATGACTGGAGGGATATGCACAAAAATGTGGTGACTTTTTTTTTTTTTTTTGTCTTAAAAAATTTCTGCAGTGAGCATACTTGATGTTCAAAATAGTTTTTTTTCTTAAAAGGAAGAAGAAAAAGAATTAATACCCAGTACTCAAAAATAGAAGTGAAGGAACTTGGAGACCATGACTAGGGCTTTGCACAGTACCTAGCCAAACACGACAACAAACAAACAAACTATGCCCACACCAGTACCATGGAATTCTACTTGATAATGAGTTGAGAAATGGTTAAAAACATTTTGAGCCCTGGCCTGTTTGGCTCAGCGGTTGGAGCATTGGCCTATGGACCAGAGAGTCCCAGGTTCGATTTCCGCTAAGGTTACGTACCAAAAACAAAAAAACAACAAAAGAAAAAACATTTTAAGCATACATGAACAGTGGACATGGACAACAAACTGGGGACAGGGCGGGGAGGGAGAAGAAGGGGTGAATCAGTGGGGGGAAAAGGAGAAACATCTGTAACAAAAATAAATTAATTAATTTTTAAAAAAAAACATTTTGAGCAGAAGCTTTTCATATGATAGGGCTTATATGCTATCCCAGTAGCCCACAGCTCTGGTTTTAGTAGTATGTCAAATGAGCTCTGTGATTGCAAATGGAAAAATCATTGTCAGTCCTTATGTCTAAAGTTTCCCTGACAAGAAGAAAGTAAAAGAGCTACTATTCATTTTGTTTATCCTGGAGGTCTTCAGCAAGTCATTATTAAAAGTTCTGAGCAAGGTTGTTTCTCTTCTATGCTATCTAGGTCTCCAGATCACACTAAGTTTGTGGGAAGTTTCAAAACCAAACAAGACTTCATAGATTTGATTGAAGTAATTTATCGAGGAGCAATGAGGGGAAAACTTATTGTCCAAAGTCCTATTGATCCCAAGAATATTCCCAAATATGACCTTCTCTATCAAGACATCTAGCGCATGAACTACTGTCAAAGCTGAAGACAAAGGCACATCTCAAAACAGTATCTGAATTCTTCTGTGCTGTTTTTCTGGAGTCCTTCAGAAACATGTTCAGTGTTCCAGTGGAGGAAAAGTTTGACTTGTATAGAAAATACTGTCCCCAAGTGGAAGACCCCAATCAGACTGTGATGATCTGGGAAGCTTGAGTTGGTCCTGCAAACCTCAGAGCAGCCAAGTCAGCCATGATCAATTTCCCACATGATTTGTTTGACTTTTCTTTATACTGTACCTTTCTTTATCCCTTAACATGATACAGAATTTCCTTAAATATTGGCTAATCCTAATTGACTTATATCTGTGTTTATTTGACACAAAAGTAAAATGGAAAGAGCAAAAATACTTATTTTCTACTCTATATGTAAACACACACCTCTCTCTCACCCTTAACCTTGCTCGTTCCTCCACTCACACATTTATGTTCTTCATGATTATCCCAGTTTCTCTTGAAATTAATAATTATCTACTGATAGCAGGCAAGTTCGTCTTATTTTGGAATCTTTCTGTCTCACACTGTGAAAATAGTGTCCTGGTTTGTAAATTTACTAGCTTTTGTGCTATTAAATTTCCCAGAAAGTGAGACTTGAACCTTTACCATTTAGCACCCAGGCTAAGCTAAACACAGAATGAACTACCCTTAGTAAGTAAGAACAGTACTTCCAGAAGTCAGAGTTCCACCTCTTCCTGAAACAGAAAACTGCTTCAAGAGCTCATGACTAGAAAGAGATCATCAGAATTGTTAGAAAGAATAGGGGCTGCTTTTCCCACTTGAAAGAAACCTACCATATATAGGAGTCAATGTGTTATCATCATAATTAGCTAGTTAATATTAATAAAGGAAGAGAGTAAAGGGGAAGCCAGACATTGTAAGCATGGCCATCTGGGCAGCTTCACCAGGAAGCTGCAGCTTCACACTCCCCAGGGAACCACCAGTCCACTCCCTGCAGATCACTGGGGGAAGGGATCCAAAAAAGAGGGAGATGGACACATGCACAGTAAAGTAGGGGTGACATAGGGGATGTGCTTATCTGTCAGTCTAGCCTGGGGAACAAAGGATTGGCTAGGAGGATGAGCCACCACAAGCATGGGGAATCTTAATCTTGGAAGGTTAAAATTCCCAGAGTTCCCTCTTGCTCTTGCTTGCTTGCTCTCTCTTGCTCTCTGACCTGCGCTTGCCGGTGAGTTCGCCTGTTCTCTCTCCATAGCTGTGTAGCCTTAAGCAGCCACTTGGCCCCTGGCCATGTGGACTACACACAATGGACTGCAGCTGGGAACACAAGCCAAACCAGCCAGATGCTGGACTGGACTGTATTTTAATATGGAACATAAATTCTGAGCAGTGGCCTTAATTCTGGCTCTGCTGAAGACAAGATTGGACTGCTTCCATGGCGAGACAGACAGAGATGGGACTTTGGAGAAGAACCCCCTGATATTTACATTATCAATAAAGTTTTCCATGAAATTCTTTTCTTCTCAGCACCCCCAAGAACTCCACTTCCACCAATAACAAATACAAGCCATCTAAGTCTTCTATTTCACAAAGAAATGTTCTTACGGGTCCCCAGGGAAAGGGTTCCAGAACCTTTGCAGACAGAAAGCTCTTTTCCTTTTAAATTTATCTTTATTGTTAAATGTATTACAGATGTTCCCCCCTTTTTTTCCCCATTAACCCCTTCCCAATCCCACCCCCTTCCTTCCTTCCCCACACTATTGTTGGTGTCTGTTGGTTATGCATATATACATAGAAGTTCTTTGGTTTATCTCATCCTGCCCTCCCTTCCCCCTTCCCTTTGAGGTTCATCAGTCTAACAACCAGTTGGTACTTCCTAATTCCTTCATCTTTTTCACTCATCCTCCTAGCCCCCGCCCATATTGCAAGCAACAAAAAGTTCTCTATATCTATGAGTCTGTTTCTGTTTTGCTCATTTTGTTTGTAGATTCAATTGTTGATAGATATGTATTTATTGCCATTTTATTGTTCATATTTTTGTTCTTCAAAAAGACCCTTCAGCCCTGCCCGGTTTGGCTCAGCGGTTAGGGCGTGTGCCTCGGTTGCAGTTTGTCCCCGGCCCTGGTTGGGTTGTGCGGGTGGCAGCCACTCGATGTGTCTCCTTCACGTCGATGTTTCTCTTTCCCTCTCTCTCTCTCTCTCTCTCTTTCTCTCCCCCCCCCCCCTTCACTCTATCTGAACAACAAAACAGAAAAATGTCCTCAGGTGAGGATAAAAAAAAAAGACCCTTCAACATTTCATATAATACTGGTTTGGTGGTGATGAACTCCTTTAGCTTTTTCTTGTCTGGGAAACTCTTGATATATCCATCAATTCTAAATGATAGCTTTGCAGGATAGAGTAATCATGGTTTTAGGTTGCTGAGGAAGCTCTTTTTCTAACTGAGCTCTTTTCTGCTATAAACCTTCAGAACAGCCCTGGCCAGTTTGGCTCAGCAGTTAGAGCGTCGGCCTGTGGTCCAGAGAGACCCAGGTTCGGTTCCTGCTAAGGGCACGTATCTCAGTTGCAGTTTGTCCCCAGCCCTGGTTGGGTTGTGTGGGTGGCAGCCACTCGATGTGTCCCTTTCACGTTGATGTTTCTCTCTCTCCAACCCAGTCTACCTGAACAAAAAATGGGAAAATGTCCTCAGGTGAGGATAAAAAAAAAATTAAACAATAAACCTTCAGTACATTGACCCATCACCAATATACCATCTTGTCATACCAAAATATGACCTCTCCCTCTCATGGTATAAGATGCCACCTGATGTTATTATTCTCTCACCAGAGTCTAGCCTTCACTTATAAGTTCTCGCATGTATTCTGTGGATCTACTGATAATTTTCAACAGTCAGAGCTAGTGGACCCATGAAGGACTTAGACCTATACTGTCGTCCCTCACCACTTTGCACTTCGACTTTCACTCTATCGCGAAGTGGCGAGGGACGACTGTATGTAAAAGAATCCTACTTCGCGGAAAGTCATTTATCGCAGTAGAGTCTGGAACTGATTAACCACCCTAAACAAGGCTCAACTGTATTCTAAATCTATGGAGGAGATAATAGCCAGAAACTGAAAAATTATACAAACATTTTTAAAAGCCTCTTAGAATACAGTTATACCTTTTTCTTCAGGCAGTGCCTTAAGCACTAAGTTTTCTGGAAAAATAAGCTACCCAGTTTTCTTGAAGAATTATGTGATTGTATTACATGGCTTCTGGTCTCCACTCTGGACAAAAATAATGAGAAAACCTTAGACATTTTCTCAGTTCACTTATCTTTTCTGCCTTCCTCCCAGCAGTACCTCCTGCCTGCCTCCTGGGGACCTGCACTCTGTGGCTCTCTGAATGCTCCCTGCCATCTCCAAGTCCTCGGGCCTTCTTCCTCTGGGCCCTCCTCTGAAACATCTTTCCCTTTCAGCAGGAGTACCTCCTATTTTCCTTTAAGGATCTGGCATTGCCTCCTCTAAGAAGCCTTTATGCCCATCCAGGGGTCATTTATATTTACACAGCATCTGAAGTGGGACAGAGCATAAAATATGCACTCAATAGATACTTGTGGGATGGAAAGCAACTACAGTAGGAACAAAAACAAATCAAGACTTCAGAGAAATATTCCCTAAGACCCTCAGGAGGAAAGAAGATACAAGAATTTTATGCATGCAAGTTCTGAGTTGTTGCTGGTATCTGAGCACTTACATCAAATACTGTGTGATTTAGGCTGTGAGTGACAGGAAATCCAGCTAATGTCACAGGCAATCAAGATGTTTTATTCTTTCATAGAAGTCTGGAGGGAGGCAGGTCTAGAGTAGCTCAATAACATCACCAGGGACCCAGGTTCTTTTTATTGTTCTTCTCAGCATATTCATTCTTCATACCAATGCTGGTAGTCTCATGGTCCTAATATGGATGCTGCAGTTCCACGCATCATGATTTCCATAAAAGCAGGGGAGAGGAGAACATGGAGGTGGTGATGACAGGGTTTTGTCTTTCCTGTTTCTGGAGTGGCTCTCTTCATCAGTGAAGGACATAGAGGTGCCCAGCAGTCTTCCTTCTATGTCATGTTAGTCAGAACCAGGTTGTATGGTCACCTCTCCCTGCAGAAAAGGCTGGGAAAAGCACCTGGCAAGGGGGGAGGGCTTGCAGTGACAGTGCTGTCCTGCGTGGAACTGAGTTTCTGTTGGCAACAAGGTTGATGGTTGCCAAACAGGTCACATGCTGCCTGGCCCATTTCCCTCCCACTTTACATCTATCTCTCATTCTAGAAAGTCAGTACCAATAGTCCCATAAAATTTGCCCAAATGGTGGCAGTTTGTGCCAGGGGACCTGGAAGAGCAAGAATTCTTCAAAGTTATTAAAACAGGGACATTCCATAATGATGACTAACCCTTTACTGAGTCCCAGAATGTTATTGCTGGCAAAGACTTTAAAGATCATCTGGATTAAGCCCCTCATGGAAAAGACCAGGGAACTTAAGGCACTTGGCAAATTTATGGCCAAGCAATGATTTGGACCCAGCAAGTCCAGAGAGCCTGCCTTTACACCATCTTTGTTTTCTGAGGTGCTGGTGTGTTGAACCATAAATGTCTGTGTCAAACACTTGTTTTCATCCCATTTTGATCTAGCATCTTCATCTCCAGGCCTTCACCCTTTCTCATTCACTTGGGAGAAGCAAAGGGATACAGTGAAAAGAGCTCAGGGTTTGTATTCAGACAGACCTAGGTTCAGGGTTCAGCTTCCCCACTTAGTAGCTGTGTAACCTTAAGTAAATCACTTAACTTCTCTGAGTGTTTGTTCCCTTGTCTGTAAAACAAGGATAACAGTGACTTTTCTGAGGCCTGCCTCAGTAGGCACTCGGTCAATGAGTGTGATCCCCACAGTGGGACAGCTTGTATCACCCTAGGTGTCTTCTGCCACATTCCCAAGTAGACACTGTGCCACTTGGATGCTGCTGTACCATAAATGAGGATAAAAAGGCCTAAGCCTTAAAAAAAAAAAAAAAAAAAAAAAAAGCACAGAAATGAGTTAAAAGAAAGCCCTTTATTAACCAACTCAGGGCTAGAGCCCATCAGTTTCACACCAGGTTTTATCCCCTCCACTCCCACCCAGTTTCCCATCTTCCAGAGTGAAATCTAGCTTTCAGGCAAGAGCTTCCAGCCTTGCATTAGTTCTCGGCTATGGTTTTCTGAACCCAGTCCAGGATGGAGTGCACCCTCACATACACACCGTACTCAGCCACCCTACAGCTCTTATCAAAGCTCAGGATCCCAGCTGCATACCAGGTGTTATCATCCGTGTCGTGAACAGCAAAGGCGCTGCCAGCATCGCCATAGCAAGTATCTTCCTGGTACTTGGACAGGCCAGCACAGAAGGTGTGTTCATTCAGTATGGGCTGCACCCCTACAGGGCTCTTTGGTTGCTTCTCTTCGGGTTTTGTGCTCTTTTCGTAGTGCTCTACACAGCTGTCCTGGTCAGCCACAGGCAACATGACGTACTTCAGTAGCTCAGTAAAATTAAAGTTGGCATTTCGTCCCCAACCAGCCACATAACCCATGCGCTTCACTTCCACATAATCTTTTGAAGGTAGGCAAATGGGCATTACTTTCTCACCAACAGGCACCTTCTGTTTGAGTTTAATGAGACCGATGTCAACCTGGGTGTAGTTAGGGTAGAGAATCACCTTCTCAATCTCCACTAGCTGATTTTTTCCCACATAGAGTCTTAAAGTAGGGGCAATGTCTTTTGCTTTTGCATCTTCCGTATGACCCAGGAAGAGATTTTTAGCTGTGGTCAGCAACCATTGTTCATTGATGAGTGTGGCCCCTGAGGTGAGATTATGGTGGGAAACCATCTTAGCCTGCCAGGGAAAGCTGTCTTTGGCATCCACCGATCCACCCAGGATCCGCTGGACCTGGTCCACTGGGTTCTTGGGCTTTCCACAGACTGTCAAGGAGAACAAGGAAATCATGAACAGAAACATAAGAATCTCCCAGTAAGGGAGGGTGGGTTTGGCTATCCTGCTGTCTAAATTAGCATTGTTCATTTGTTCAGAGCCGGGACTATTTGCACGGTTTGCTTTGCCATCTGTCCTCTTGTTTCCAATGTTTACCATCAATTGTTTTCATCACTAAGGCAGAGTCCTAATTCCTGCTTTGCTAACTCACAAAAGAAGCAAGCAATGCTGAGATTTGGAGACCCTGTATGTATATTAAACAGTTTAACACAAAAAGGACATGTCCAAAATTCCTTGAAAGTCATAATGGTGAGGAGCTATACTAACTTATTCTCTCTGAATAAAGAGGGCTCTATAACAGCATTGGCCAGAACTCAGCTTTTATAGATACAGCAACTAATACAAGGCAGGTGAGCAGTTCCACGACACTAATAGCAGGAGACAGTAGGCAAAATCCTCTTGTTCCAAGAGGGAAAAGGAGAGAACAATAGCTCTTATAACAAGAAACGAGTCCTAATCCATCCCCAGCCTTGTCATACTTCCATGGATTAAGGTTTAGTGGTGTCCTCCCTTGACTAGTTCTTCCTGGAGCTGGCTTTACCCTTAAATCCTAGGCTCTCTGGGTGGATTATCTATACACAAAGGGTCCCCTGACCCCCTGGGGGCAGTGCACACAGTGGAGTCAGTCAATGCCCTGTAGGCCTGAAAAAACAAGAGCCTTAGTCGACTTTTTAAAGGAATCATCACCTAACTACTCAGTTCTCTGCCAGCCATGTGTGGTTCTCCCTCATCCCAGGTCTTGGCTTTTGTATGCTCAGCGGAAGCCACACAAGAGGGGCATGTGCCTCTAGGACATTCCGAACAAGATGCCTACCCGAGCACTGGCCCCTCAACACCTGCCCTTGGTCTGCTTCCCAGGCCCTTGGCTTCCTACCTGCTTCACATTCAGGAAGCTTCTCTCCAAGGGCCTTATTTGTCCACTTCTTCTCACTGTTTAAGGTGTACACTCCTGAAACAAAATGAAAGCAATGAGCCAAAAGAGAAATTCAATCTGGATTTCGTATGGGGAGAGAAGGTATTTATTTATTTTTTTTTTTTTTATCCTCACCCGAGGATATTTTTCCATTTTTTGTACAGATAGAGTGGGAGGGAGAGAGAAGAAGGGAGAGACAGACAGAAACATCGACGTGAAGGGACACATCGAGTGGCTGCCACCCGCATGACCAACCAGGGCCGGGGACAAACTGCAACCGAAGTACGTGCCCTTAGCGGGAACCGAACCCAGGTGAGAGAAGGTATTTAAAGAGAAGAGTTTGAGCCCTGGCCAGTTTGGCTCAGCAGTAGAGTGTCGGCCCATGGACCAATGAGTTGTGGGTTCAATTCCAGCCAAGGGCATGTGCTTTGGTTGTGGTTCATCCCTGGCCCTGGTTGGGGTCGTGCAGAAGGCAACCAGTCAGTGTGTTCCTCTCACGTCGATGTTTCTCTCTCTCCCTTTCTCTCCCTCTCATTCTGACTGAAGATAAATAGAGAAATGTCCTCAGATGAGGATTAAAAAAAAGAAGACGAGAAGAGTTAGAGAAGGAGGAGGAAGATGAGGGAGGGGCAGGGGAGAGGAGGAACAGAGGAGCACTGTACTAGAAGCCAGGTGCTGGGGGGCACCAGCATAACCCAGCTGGACAGGGTTGTGGTCATGGTCATGGTGAGACAGTGCAGGGTAGGCATCAGGGTCCAAATCCTGGCTCTACCTCTTATAGGCTACCTGATCTTGAGCAAGTACCTCTCTGTGTCTCAGTTTCCTCCTCAGCAAACAGTAGTAGTATCTCTGTAAAGGGGCATTGGGAGGACTATGTGAGCAAATAAATGTAAAGCACTTAATAGTGCCAGGAGCAGTGCTCACTAAGGCAAGGACTACCAATGCATCACCATACCATCGTTTGTTCTTTTGCCACATCCTTTGTAGATGTAGATCTCACTCTGAGATGGGTAGGCTGCATGGCGTCACCTCCCCTTAACAAAAGACAAAACTTGAGGCTGAGCAAAGTCAATTTTCCCAAAAGGCCACAGCACTGGTAACAAAACCCTTATTAGAATCTACATCTCCTGGCTCCAAGGATAACACATGAATTTCCTAGCCTATCACCCCTGACTCCATCCATCATGGAAATGTCAGGAAGGGGAGGACACGGGGACACTGGCCCAGGTCTCACCATCTCCTTCTGTGCGCAGTCTGTAGTAGTTCTTACACTGATAGCGAACCGAGTGCTCCACGTAGCCATGTGCAATCTCAGGGGGCTTTGGGCAGCTGTCATCTGCAAACAAAAACAGGAAGAGGAGGTTAATATTCAGAATGTGCTCCCAGAGACCCATGAAAAATCAGATCAAAGGAAGATGCTCTGCATGTCAAACTCCTTCCACTCCAAATGGAAGCCAAGGGCTGGGCAATCTTTCCTTATTTCTGGCTGACTCCCCAACGTTCTTCGTAGTATTGAAAGACCAGAGATTAGGAAGAGAGGGGGTCTGGGTTTTCCTGAGGAGAAGGTGCAGATCTGATAGGGTCAAACACACAGTGCTTGGATGTACAGCTCCTGCCCAAACCCAAAGACCTACCTGTATTAGCTGTGCTCTCGTTGCCAGTGTCCACTGCGAAAAGCTGCCCCCAGAGCAGGAGGGCGATGACGGCTCCCAGGGCACTGCAGAGAGAAGACAGGAAGGAGTGCAGAGCTGCCCTCCTTCACCACACACACACACACACCTCCCATACCTTCCGTAGCCAGATGGAAGTGCTAGGACCCATCAAATACATATATTTTACAGCTTCCCAGTATACCCAGGCACAGCAAGCTCCGTGCTGCTGGGAATTCTACATACGCTTCAGAGAGGAACCACCAAGCTAGAAGACGCACAGGTGTGTGGACCTCAATTTTTGGCAGCACTCAGGAAACACTAAACTAGTAATAATGTCTGTGATTTCCAGCAAAGAGAAACTTCCCTTGGGCACTGGGCTACAAGGACACTGCAAATAAGATGTAAAAAACCCGAAGCCGAGAACGTGGGGATTGACTATGCTAGTCTCTCTACTTTTTGAAAATTTTCCATAAGGAAAGATTTTCAAAATATTTTATTTAAAATACTTATATGGTTGTTTCTCTTATTTTATGACAATTTGCCTTCAAGAAATGCTGTATCAAACTTCAAAATGCCAGAAGGTTCCCTGGGAGATACCTGGCTTCCTGAAAGCATGACTGAACATGGGCATCAATGCACAAGCCACATTTGCCAGTTAATCATCTCACTGGCTGATGTCAGCTCTTCAGAGATTGCTTGGTTATGTGTCTAGTCTTGCTACTTCAACATTTCAAAACATCTTTTATTTTGATAAACTGTAAGTGCCTTAATTGTGTCACCCAAATATGTCACTATTGGTCTTTCTTATTATACACTTTTTAAAAGGAAAAAAAATCTTCTCACTATAGAAAACAATATGGTGTTACCTCAAAAAATTAAAAATTGAACTTCCATTTGACCCAGTGATCCCACGTCTAGGAATATACCCTAAGAAGACTGAAACACCAATCAGAAAGAATATATGTACCCCCATGTTTATAGCAGCACTATTTACAATAGCTAAGATCTGGAAACAGCCCAAGTGTCCATCAGTAGACAAATGGATAAAAAAGCAGTGATACATATACACAATGGAATACTTCAGCTGTAAGAAAGAAAGATCTCTTATCCTTTGAGACTACATGGAGGGACCTGGAAAGTGTCATCCTAAGCAAAACAAGCCAAACAGAGAAAGACAAGTATCATATGATCTCACTTATTTGTGGAATATGATGAACATAACAGTCTGAGGAATGAGGTAGTCCCAGAGACGTGGAAGTGGGGTACAGACTGACTATCCCCAGAAGAGGGGGTGGGGAGGGAGAGAAACCACAGAACTTATATGCATATATGCATGAACAACGGACATGGCCAACAAAGCTGGGGAGAGAGCTTAGAGGGAGGGGGAGGGGGAATCAGTGGGGAAAAAAGGAGAAACATCTGTAACAAAAATAAATTAATTAAATAAATAAAAATCTTCTAATTAATATATTTAAAATACCAGGAAGCCTACCATGGAAGCTGCTGTCATCTCCTACAAAGATGAAAACTTTACAACCTCAAGGGAAAAAAAGATATTCCTTAGAGTAAGTCACATCTCCTGGGAAAGACAACAGTATCGGAAAGCATTATCTCATATAGATGCAGAAAAGCAGAGGACTTAACACACTGTACCCTTTAATCCACTATAATTTAGCCCACTAACCCTACTTCTTTGTTATATTTTTTCATCTGTTCTGTAGGTTTCTCCTACACCTGGGTTGTCATGTAGATAAAAGATGTATGCACAGGTGGGTGAGATAAAAAATGAGAAAGGAAAGGAAAGTGGGCAGAGCTGTGGACTCACCTCATCTTTGGCTTGTTCTGCCTCTGGAAGAGCAGTGCTGTGGGGTACAGCTGCTGATGCTTTTATACCTGCAGTATCTCACTCCACCCCTGCTCGATTTTGTAATGCCTGTATCTACACAACTTTAACCTTGTTAAGGTCACTGGCATTTTCCAGTAACAGAGCCACAAACATCCCTGTTAAGAGTCGAGCTCTTGCTTCATGCTTGAGTTTCCTCTGATGTTCTTTTACAAACCCCAAAGAAACCTGGCCACTTCATGGCCCCAGCTAGCTGCCAAGGAGTTCCCTGAAATGAGCCACTGGGCAGGGCTGCGGGAAACCATCAGTCTGTATCTTTGTTTTGGAGGGTGTTCAGCACTGAAAAAAAAAAAGCCCTTTGTGTTATTTCAAACCCCTTACAGATATTCCTACAACCTGGCTGAGACAGGGCTCTAAAGAAAGCATTTCCTTTTCACGATCACTTCCCCTATCCTGTGTTGACATCTCCCTATTGCTTAAAAGCACTCCACCCTGAAATAAGTAAAATGTATTTATTGTGTTCTCTGATTGAACATGAATGAAATGGTGTCATTTCTGTGGAAAACAGTTGAATGGTTCCTCAAAAAGCTAAACATAGTCCCTGGCCAGTTTGGCTCAACGGTTAGAGTGTCGGCCCTCGGACCGGAGAGTCTCGGGTTCGGTTCCCGTCGTAAGGGCACGTACCTGGGTTACAGTTTGTCCCTGGCCCCGGTTGGGGTGGTGTGGGTAGCAACCAGTCAATGTGTCTCTCTCACATCGATATGTCTCTCTCTCTTCCTTCCTCTCTCCTTCCCACTCTATCTGAAGATAAATGAAAAAAAAAAAAAAAATGTCTTTGGGTGAGGATAAAAAAAAAAAAAGTTAAACATAGAATTGTCATATAATCTAGCAATTCTACCTCTGGGAATATACCCACCATAATTGAAAACAGAGACTCAAACAGAGATTATTGCTAATGTTTATTGTAGTATGATTCACAATAGCCAAAGGTAGAAAAAAACGCAGGTGTCCTTCAACAAATGAATGGATACGCAAAAGGTGGCATATACATACAACAGAGTATTATTCACCTATAAAAAGGAATGAAGTTCTGATACACACTACCACATGAGTAAACCTTGAAAACATGCCAAGTGAAAGAAGAAAGCAGACACAAAAAGACAAGTATTGTATGATTCCACTTACATGAAATATCTAGAAAAGGCAAATTTATAGAGACAAAAAGTAGATAAGAGGTTACCAGGGGCTGGAGGGAGGAAGGAATGGGGAGTCATTGCATAATAGGTACAAACTTTCTGTTTGGGCTGATGGAAAAGTTCTAAACAGTGGCAATGGTTGCACAACATTGTGAGTTTAATTAATGTCACTGAATTATACACTTAAGCATTGTTAAAATCAGGAATTTTGTGGTCTATGTATTTTATCACAATAAAAAATTCAAGAAATGAAACAGTAAGTAAACTTTCTTACTTGGTACCAAAATTTTTTTTAAAGAAAGCAAAACTAAGCAACATATTGTACAGGTATGCATATTTTTTAATTTTAATGAAATGGAAAACAAAATGTACTATGTTACCTGTCATGGGAGGCAGGAGGAAGGCATAGGAGAAAAGTACATAGGTAGTTATAAATATAGATAATTACTGCTAATGATCCAGCTTTGGGTGGGGTGATAGGTTCATGAATGTACATTATGTTACTGAGTCTTATTTTTAAAGATATATATACACATATATATATGTGTGTGTATATATATATCATATGTAATATAGTGTCAATGTTTTAAAATATGAAGGAGAGGGACCCTAGCCAGTTTTTCTCAGTGGTTAGAGCATCGGCTCACAGACCAAAGAGTCACAGGTTTGATTCCAGTCAAAGGCACGTACCTTGGCTGTGGTTCAGTCCCTGGACCTGGTCAGGGTCATGTGGGTGGTGACCACTCAATGTCTGTCTCTCTCACATTGATTTTTCTCTCCCTCTCTCCCTCCCGCTCTATCTGAGGATGAATGCAAAAATGTCCTCGGGTAAGGATTAAAAAATAAATAAATAAACAAACAAAGTAAATAAAATATGAAGGAGAGGGAATCACCTGACAGAGGCTAAGTTGCTCCTCTTTGCAGAGTGATGCAGTAAGTCTGAGCATTGCCTGAGAAGCTCCATTTTTTTTTATCCTCACCGAGGACATTTTTTCATTTTTTGTTCAGATAGAGTGGGAGGGAGAGAGAGAGAGAAACATTGACGTGAAAGGGACACATCGAGTGCCTGCCACCTGCACGACCCAACCAGGGCCGGGGACAAACTGCAACCGAATTACGTACCCTTAGCGGGAACCGAACCCAGGTCTCTCTGGACCACAGGCCAACGCTCTAACTGCTGAGCCAAACCTGCCAGGGCTGCATTTAATTTTTTAAATATTTTTATTTATTATTGATTCTAGAGAGAGAGGAAGGGAGAGGGAGAGAGAGGTAGAAACATCGATGAGCGAGAACATGGATTGGCCGCCTCCTGCATGCCCCCCACTGGGAATCCAGCCCACAACCTGGGCACATGCCCTGACTGGGAATCAAACTGGCCACCTCTTGGTGCATGAGTCAACGCTCAACCACGGAGCCACACCGGCTGGGCAGAATCTGCATTTAAAATGGCCATAACCTTTCCCTTTCCCTGTCCCTGTATGCACACTGCAGTGTGATTGCAGCCCTTCCATTCAAAGTGGAGCCCATTTCTCCACCCCTTGAATCTAGGTTTGGCTGTGTGACCACTTTGGCCAATGGAATAGTAGCAAACAGAAAGGAGAGGCTCAAAACATGTTAGTAAATTGGGGCTCACCTTCTCCTATTGCACCTGGAATCTGGGGGCTGCCTTATGAATGAGCCCAAGCTATTCCATTGCTGGAGGATGAGAGGTCACTTAGAAGAGAACCCAGGCATCCCTGCCCACCAGCCTCAATTACCCAGATGCTGACTGCAGATGCATGAGTGTGCCCCTGCTGAGATCAACCCAGCCTAGTCCAGCCCAGACTGCTGACCCACAGAATCATATGCTAAATAATGGGCTGCTGTTGTAAGCCATCAAGCTTTGGGAAGGCTTGTTAAGTAGCAAATGTTGACGGATACAGCCCGTATATGAAACATGAAAATGGAGCTACTCTGACTGAATCTGGGATGAAGGGATTCGAATTTTGCTTCCTAGGTTCCTTATATCTTCTGTAGCAGCTTATTTTTACCAGCTCTTTGCCTCTCAGTTTCCTCCAGGAAGGAGAGGGCTACTGCCCTACGTATTCCAAAGCCCCTTCCTCAAGAACACACACTATGGGCTGAGGAGGATTCACACTGAATTCGGAACATTTCCCTCCTATGGCATCCTCATGTTCTTCCTCTCCTCCCTCCCACCCATTCGATACATCACCTCTCCTTACAGAAATCCTCCAGCCTCAGTCTCTTAACAACCCTATCTTGCAATGTCATAGCCCTAGGCTTATTGCTCCCCTGCCCAGGTGCTACTACCCCACAGAGAGAAGGGACGGACTTTATTTCTGTGGATCCCCGGGGAATGAGGGAGAACTTGGGTCCTATGATGGAGGGAGGTGTTCTCTGTAGGCTGCAGCTACCCCCCCCCCCAGCATAATATACATGAAATGAAACCTCACCACCACTGTGGAATAATTGTTTACCCACCAGGTGCATGTAAATTCACATTTTTTCTATAAACAAACCTGAACTCGATTACACCGACCCCTTGTCTTTAACAACAAGAGAGCATTCACAGCCTCCCTGCCCTGGACAGCCTTTCTTTTTATTTTTTATCCTCACCCAAGAACACTCCTCCATTTTTTGTTCAGATAGAGTGGGAGGGAGAGAGAGAGAGACAGCTGAGAGAGAGAGAAACATCGACGTGAAAGGGACACATCGAGTGGCTGCCACCCACACGACCAACCAGGGCCAGGGACAAACTGCAACTGAGGTACGTGCCCCGAGTGAGAACTGAACCCAGGTCTCTCTGGACCGCAGGCCGACGCTCTAACCACTGAGCCAAACTGGCCAGGGCTGGACAGCCTTTCTTTACTTGATAATAGAGAGTATCCCGCCAAACAGCCTTCTGTCCCAGTTGGAGACTAAGGCTGGACAGGATGAGGTAGAAGTGAGAAGCTTCAGGGCCGCCAGTTGCAGGAAGCAGCAAATACATTATATAAGAACAGAAAGCAGAAAAGTTCAAAACATCAATAAGGCAGGACAACAGTTGGCAGAAGACTTGAAGGGCAGAGTTTTTATTTTGGAAAAAAAAAATGTTTTTCAGAGTATAAGAGAAAGTTTATTTAGAAAGTCACAGGAGTAGAAGTAACAGGTCAAGAAACAAGTTACAGCCCTGGCCAGTTTGGCTCAGCAGTTAGAGCGTTGGCCTGCGGTCCAGAGAGACCCTGGTTCGGTTCCCGCTAAGGGCATGTACCTCGGTTGCAGTTTGTCCCCAGCCCTGGTTGGTCGTGCGGGTGGCAGCCACTCGATGTGTCCCTTTCACGCCAATGTTTCTCTCTCTCTCTTCCTCTCTCTCCCTCCCACTCTATCTGCAATAATAAATAAAAAAGAAAGAAACAAGTTACAGAGGGGAAAAAGGAGTTGGGGAAGCCTTGGCACTTAGGAGATAAAAAGGTAAAGGTAATGCACTTGGGGCGAAGAAGAGGCGGAGGGGAAGGGCATGGGGCACTCCTGGGAGAGAAGTCGCAGAAAAAAATATATTTAAAACTTTATTCTGCCATTACAAAAGTCTTGAGGCCCTGGCTAGGTAGTTCAGTTGGTTAGAGCATCATCCCAAAACGCCAAAGTGCAGGTTCAATCTCCCATCAAGGCACCTACAAGAAAAAATCAATGAATGCAGAAATAAATGGAAAACAAATCAATGTTTCTTTCTCTCTCCCTTCCTCTCTCTAAAATGAATATTTTTAAAGTCTTGAAATTTTGAAAGCTGCATAAAAATAAAAATAAAATAGTCTACCACACAAAGACAACCAATAACCACTATTAACACTTCATTGTTATTTTCTTCCAGGTTTTCTCTGCACACATTTTTACATAGTTTTAATCACTCGTTATACAGAATTTTTGCGGTCTGC